CCAGTTGAATGAGTAGGTACAACTATAAAAAACAGAAACAGAGATTCGTGGCTACTCCTCAATATACTGCTCACCTTTTTTCTCCTGTAATAATTTTTTTCCTACCCTTCCTTCATCGTCATGCTCTTTTTTCTCATGATTGTTCTTTTCTTGGCTTAATTGACTCTCTACTTGTCTTTTGTCTTCTTTTTGCTGCTGATGCTCAGCTACTACTCCTCCTCCTGCTCCTCCTTCTTCTCTTCCAGCTCCTTGTCCCTCTCCTCCTGTTGTCTGTCCCTTTCCGTGCCCTCCCTCACCTCCTGAGTCTCCATCTTCCTCTCCATTCCTCTCCTCATTCCTACCTCTTCCGTTTTCCTCTTCTTCCTCCCCAACAATAGCTAATTGACAGAACTTGCTTCGTTCAATCCATCCATATCTCTGGTATGCTGGAAACTCCCCTCCTTCAATTAGTGAGAACTGGTAAGGAAGACTAGCTGTGTGAACTGGAGCAACAGCAAATTTAAGATACTTGGATAAAGAAGGATCACTGAGATCAATACAGTGTTGCATTTCTATCCTCAATGACTTGACGAGTGGACTGGTTGATATGGCATACACTGCACTGACTAGTCTAGTATTATCAGGAAACCTATAAAGGAATTAATAAGTAAAATACATGTACCGGTATATAATGTATAGCGGGTAATTTTCGTTGGGTAAAATTTTTGTTCTTTAATTCAAAATTTGAAATTCAGCATAAAACGAGACACCGATGGTGCATTGGCCTCACCAAAACAAAGAAGAATAATATTAATTTTGTTTTACATGCATGATTTCAAAACTATATTTTGTCCTGCATATTACCACTGTTACTGCATTAAAAGTAACTTGCTTAGATTGCTATAGTTTTGATTGCATTCTTCATAGTCTAATTAAATGTGAGGGTGTTTGGGTGTGGCTGCAAACTGACAGTGCAGCATGACAGTTGTCAAAGTACAGATAAAGTGTCAAATCTTGATTGCTATAGAGTTGTCACACAGTCCAGTCAAAGTGTCAAATCTTGATTGTTAGAGTAAAATGGTGTGTCTTGGAGGAACTGCTGGGAGAAGCTTGAGTTTCTTGGACTTCTACTCAGTGCACAGACTGATTAGTAGGCCCTATTTGTTCCATACAAACTCTTGTCAAGCTCCTGAAGTTTACAGGCCTTAGCTACTCTTCCTAAGGACAAGTGCCTCGTGTAAAGTAAAGAGGTAAGTAATTTTTAGGCATTCCTTTCTTCAAGAAAAAGAAAGTTACATAAAAAGCTACATATTTTTTAAAGAAAAGGTTTTTGTGTCTTTCTAGAGATACTAGATAGCCCTGTTACTGGAAGCAATGATAGGAGAACCTCCCTAAATTTGGCAAGATTGTTAGCTTTTGATTCCTTGCACTGCCATCTATACTTGATAAAGCTAAAGAAAGTAACTTTTTTAGCACATGGAGAAGTTATCTGAGTGTAGTGGACCCCTCTTTTAAAACCACATTACCTCAAAGTGAGAGATTGCTTCTGGACAGAATGAATGACAGACAACACACTTAACTACATTGTCCTCGCCCACGCTACTCGCTGGCGAGGCCAAAAATTTGTCATGAATTATCATATTTAACAGCTCTAATTGTTAGAGAGCAAAATACCCCAGTATATGTCAGTAATAATTTCTTCACTAGGCCCATAAAGACAACATTATAGAATTGTTTTCCCTGACAATAATTCCCCGCTAAAAATATACAGTAATTACTACATGTACAGTATATGTACTTGAAGTGTCCTCCTACAAGAGCTAGTACTGATACTTCTACAGTCTCTGATGCTGATAGACTATCCTCTGCTACACTAATCCTCAGTCCATACTCCTCCCAGTTCATCAGTTGAGGTTTGTCTCCTTGAACTAAGAACAACTTCTTCCCTGCTATTTGGGACTCACTCAGACCTTCCAAATTATCTGTAGAAAAGTAAAACATGTGAAATTATGTATTATTAAAATGTGTATGTACATGTAATTATGGACAGAGATGAGGCAATGAACCATAATTCATGTAAAGCTACAGTGAATGACAATGTAAAGTACATAAAGCAACTTTTAAAATTCATTAAAAAATTCAATTTTGATCAGAATTAGTTCAAACTTTCTTCACAACATAAAAACATCAAGTAAAATTAATAAAAATTGGGAAATTTCTGTTTTTATTTTGGTGAAATTTAGTCAGAGACCAAATTTGGTTTAGAGCCATGCTAGTGGTACCAATGGAGTCCTCTGGCCAAGATAAGGTCCTCTAAAAAGTCTGGAAGGCATAGGAGTTTTTTTTCCTGGTATAGCAAGGCTGTAAAAGTTTCGGCAGCATTATTGTTTTGGGGTGAATCCTACTTAGTAATGCTACTGTGTTACTATTACATGTAGTACAGGGACTAACCTTGCGATAGTACAAGATAGTTGAATTGAATTTCTTTGTCATGAGCTAAAGTATAAAAGTAATAATAATAGATAAAGTAATGACACATGTACTTGTTTGTGTTGTCTGTATTTCTTTGTTTTCAGTTTCAATTTGAATCTCAAATACATTTGAATCTTTTACTAAAAATAATGATATTTAATAAACATGTCAACAGTAGCTTCACAAACAGCAACATACCATTAATATCATATTCTTCATCATTATTCATTGTATATTGTCCAGTAGGTAATTCATGTAAACCTACAGTGAATGACAATGTACAGTACATGAATATAATTAATATATACCAATCATTAACCCTTACCTTCCAGTATATCATCTCTATCCATTCTTTTCAATGAGTCCTCCAGTTCCGTTATTGTTCTATCCTTCTCATTACAGCAGATCTCAAGTACATGAGTTAATCTTGAATCAACTGGTGTCATCTCTTTGATTTCAGTTAACACTGATTCCTTCACTTCAAGACACTGTCCAATATGATACCAGTCATCTTCAACTAGTTCCAGTATCACTGATGATTGTGATATGCTGTCTATAACAACAATAAAATAATAAATAATAATAATAATAACGACAACAAAATCAAAAACAACAACAACAATAATAATAGTAAAAAATAGTAATAATAGTTATTATAAACGACAATAAAATTTTGGCAGCAATTTGAGGTCACTTGCCAAATGTATTAGTGATATGTCAAATCAAAGCCAAAAATGCCTTCTCCAAATATGGTAAACACTACTACAGTAATTTGTGTGCTCTTACACTGCAAACATATACTGAACTAACCTTTACTGATATAAGTACATGTATGTACAGTCTCAGTTTCTTGTAATATTTCAGTCTCTTCTTTCTGTTGTACTGGTACTATATCAAATACAATTTATCAATATTACTCATAATTAATAATAAGTACCATTTTGATCTTTAAGTAATGTCATTAATCTTTCATTCTCCAGTATCAATGCTTTCCTTTGTTCTAATTATAAGAAAAGGTCATTAATGAGTTTGAAACTGTGTAGATGTATACTTTGAAATGTTTCCCTTTCATTTTTAATCTTTTCTATTTCACTCTGTAATTCTACAAAATGGAAAATAATATGAACATTGAAACACAAAAAACTAAATATACATGTACATGTATATACATATATACCTGACTGAGTGATAGTGTATTCACACTGAACTGATACTTCCTTGTGATCTTTAACTTGCTGTAGTTCTAATTCTTGTTGAAGATCATCAATCTTTATTTGTAGTTCCTCTTTCTCTCTCAGAGCAGCTTCTTTTTGTTCCATTAAACTGGAGGATGTTTTTATCTCTTCCTTTAACTTCTTTTGAAGTTCCTCAAGTTGTTTATGAGTAAGTACAATCTCTATAATCATGACTAAATCAACAATAATTAATTATAACAATTATACCTGATTTTAATTCTTCATAGTCCTTTGCAACTTGTTCATGAAATTCTTTCTCTTCTTCACGAAGTTCCTTTTCTTCCTCCAGTTGCTTTTGAATACTTTTAACTTTCTCCTGATGAAATTCTTTCTCTTCTTCACGAAGTTCCTTTTCTTCCTCCAGTTGCTTTTGAATACTTTTAACTTTCTCCTGCAACATCATAACTTGATCCTTATCCTTTTTGTCTTCCTCCTTCTGGTACAAATGACTCTCAAATTCTGTTGTTCCTGTACTCATGCAAATAATTATAATTATAATATTAAAATACCTGCAGGTAATTCAATCATAGCAAATGTGGAATCTTTACTTTGTACAGTAGGATCATCAAAAGTGTCAGGGAATAATTCTTGTTTCCTAGCTTCCCCACTGCTACCATCACCTCTAATGACATTTATTCTGACATAGTGTGATAATACAGCTGATGATAGTCTTTGTACATCATTAAGCACTGAATAACTAGTGTCTTTATCAACGACAATCGTAACATACTTAAGGAGCAACGAAGTTTTCAAAAGCTCTTTTTCCAAAAATTGACGAAGTTTATTTTTTAATCCCTCAATAGTTTCTTCATATTCCTTAATAACTGCCTTAGCCTCCTCTATATTGAACCCATTAACAAAATACTCCAGCATACTAATATCATCAAGTGAACTTTTATCACATACTAATCGTAAAATGTCATGGATATCTTGACATTGAGCTAGCTGAGGCTTAAATGCATTGTTGTATGCACCCAATGCATATTTGATGATATCAAGGGATGGAGACTGAGGATTGCTTTTCATGATTGATTCCACTTGTAAAAATATACTTCCCAACTTTATTTGTATCCTCATAAACTCTGAAGTGACAATCCAAGGAAGATAAATTTTCAGCCCTTCAATAAATCAATTAATATACTATAGTTAATTGTTAATACATAAATTAATCGTTACCATTCTCATCGCTCCAATAAACCTCTCCTATATAACAATCTTTAGTTACTGGTTTATGTTATAATACATGTACTTACTGTAGTCTCTAATTATAGCTCTTCCTATATCAGTAGTGACTATGTTTTTACATAAAATATCAGCAAATGCTTCAAGTTTTCTATAATCATTACAAACAGCTTCCTTCATTTCATCCAAGGTAGATACATAGGTAAATTTTGTCTCTTTTATTAGTCCTGCTCGATACAAATATGAAGTCATCCAAGGCAATGCAGATACAAGGGATTGTTTTGAGATATAACGAGCAAGAATTCTACAAGCAGGATGCTCTAAACAACAAATATAATAATACATTCATTTAATACTAAACTTACTCTCCATATCTATTGCATCAGCTACTCCATTCTCTCCTATTCCCCTCATTGCTGATACCAATGAATAGATAGAGTACATTATCAATGATCGTACACCATCAATTTTCGGACACTTGTTTTAGGAAAACTATACATTGCCATCTCATGAAACTGCAAAGTATTATAGCAATAGTTATCCTTTATTTGCGTGACAAAACTTGTAGCTCTAGCAAGAGTGCATAGAAAGTTATAAGCTCTCAAAGCGTGGTGTCCGACAATACCAATGATCGGCCAAAATTCTCAATCTTCGGACTGTCATTTCTGAACGGCAGCAAAGGATAGTTTTAGAAGGTCACTATGATAACTTTGTAGGCCTGTCTTTAAACTAACTATCACCATCCGGATCTTTTTGATAACTGTCTTTTTGACAGAGATAATGGCCACTTAAAAT